ATGTGCCGTTGAGTCAGACCCAACCCATAGCGACCCCTCCTTGGGTTTCCAGGGCAGTATCACTACAGAAGTAGATTGCCCCATCTTCCTTCCGGGGAGTGGCTGGTGGGTTTGAACCGCCAGCCTTCTGGTTAGCAGTCAAGTGCCTTAGCCACTACGCTACCAGAGCTCCCAAGTAGCTGCTTTAGGGGTGTGGTATGCTTCTCATATATAAAAACAGCTTTAGGAATGGTCTCTAGCTTATGGCATGCTTGAACCCTGCATGTAGCAGTGTCATTATTCAGCAGCTTGCCATCCTCTGCCGACCTTGAGACTTTCAATGGCCTTGAATTAATGGCCTGCCATGTGGTTTGGTAACATCAGGACTGTGCCTTTTTACTTGAAAACCTTGAGCTATCAGTCTCAGCAGCCAGCAGCTGTCTGAGTGAAGAAAAGCCTCCAGCTTCAGTGGGCCAGGAGCAGGAGGTAGAGCTGGAGCCCAAGGTTGAGGGGTTTTCACTCAGCTAGAGCCTGGCACTTTGAACTCAGGCTTAAAGCCTCCAAATTGTAAGAATAAACTCCTGTGTGTTAAGTCCATCCCATTTGTGGTATTTTCTTGTTGACAACTATCAACAGGAAATATTTATGTGCAGCAGTACTAAAGCCATTTCAGTTCTCATGATTTTCTGAAGACTGGCTGAGTCCTTAGTAGTATATTTTGGGATATACCCAAAACAGCATGACAAGTATTATAAGGAAGATGATACTCATGAAAGGAAAGTACCTGCCATATAATCTTCTCTGTAACTTTCCCTGCCCTCCATGAGAAGGATGGTGAATGGCATCCATTATCTTGCAAAGCTGTAGCTGTGAAGGACTTAAGAAATAACCTTAAAATCTCTATCAGTGTTACAACTCTAAGAACCAAATAAGCAAACTATTACTATAGAATCTGAATTTTCCTGATGATAAAAACTCAAATGACTCATCTTTGGACATCTAGCCCCATGCAATACAATCTAAAGAATTAACCAAACCAAAGCAGTTGCAGTCAAAATGATTCCGACTCATGGCAACCCCATCTGTGTCAGAGCAAAACTATGCCCCATAGTGTTTTAAAAGGCTGATGGTGCAGAAAGAGAGCACCAAGCCTTTCTTCCCAGGTGCCTCTGTATGAACTTGAACCTCCAAGCTTTTAGTTAGCAGGTGAGGTCTTAATCATACAGAAGAGTTCAAATCTTCCTTCTTTCAAAGGAATATTTTATCTTCCCACACAAATAACTAATTGCAGATTATACTATCAGTGATTTCTAGTCCTCATCCAAAGTATATCATCCAAGAAAAGAAAAATCAGAAAAGTTTTCAAGTTCCTCTATTCTGAGGTAAAGGAATAGATCAACTTACTTTATCTCCTTGAGACACAAACTTTTAAAATCCCCCCACACAAGATCCCCAAAATTTTGAAAATTGTTTAAGTCATGTGATAGATACCAGAGTTCATTTTATTACTCTATTTTTGTATATATTTGAACATCTCCATAATATAAAGTTAAAAATATACATATATATACGTGTGTCTAGGTGTTTATATATAAATTCCCAACACAACAAATTGGTAGAGAAATGCCCAATTTGTTCCAAGTTTTCATACTCCAAAAATAACTGAATTTCACTTTGCTACTTTTTCATTCTAGCAGCAGTAAGTGACCTATTACTAAAAGTCTAGTGAAGGAAATAATTAACTGCCCTAACCTTGAAAACATATGGTAGATGGGCAATAAAGGTTGGAATAAAGAAATCTAAAAATTCCTCATTAGAAATGATACCATTTTTAGGGACGGAAGAGAGAATAAAGCAAATTATTTCATATCTACTTTTTAAAACTAACTTTAATAGCTCACAGTAGTATATCAGCAACGTCCAATGACCAGCCATGCTCTAGTGCTAGGCATGAATTTAAGAGACTACATATATATATATATACACATATATATATATATATATATATATTTGTTGTTATTTGCCATCGAGTCAGCCCCGACTCATAGCGACCCCTCCTTGGGTTTCCGAGGCAGTATCACTACAGAAGTAGGAATGCCCAACCTTCCTTCCAAGGAGTGGCTGGTGGGTTTGAACCGCCAGCCTTCTGGTTAGCAGTCAAGCGCCTTAGCCACTATGCTACCAGAGCTATTATATTGTATATATTGTATTGTGTGTGTGTGTGTGTGTGTGTGTATGTATGTATATATATATATATAAATTATACTGCCTCTGCCACAATCCTCTTTTCAAATTGCCACTCAACTTTCACAAGCACACTGTAAATGTAATCTTAAATTCATTCCAAATTTTAAGCTTTATTATATCTAAAAATAAAACAATCCAAACTTTAAAACAAATACTAATTTGCAACAAATTAATCTTTAATTATCACTATGAACAAGAACTTTGTTTTTAAAACTTACCCTGGCAAACTAACTTTAATATAACTTAAGCAGACCCAAAAGAGTAGATAAGTCTATTTATTTACATCACTTCTCAAGCCCAAGAAAAGGTATTAAGAACTTGTTTTAAATGTTAAAAATAATAATAGTAATAATAATAATAAATGCAGACAAAAATATACATCCTAAGAAAAAACTTTTACAGATAACTCCTCCACTGGAACGCTCCAAAAACTTTCATGGCAACAATTATTTCCTTACCACAAAAGTGACCTGTTGTCACTTTCACAAAAGTTGGAACATCTAAATTTGTATAATTCACCTTAAACTGGAAAATACACGAAGTTGTTTCATTTAGCTCAGTAGAATTTCGTGTTTTATTCATAGAAAAAGCCATCATCAGTCTGAGTGAAGCACAGGGCACTAGCTTCAACTTCTTGTTCCCCACCCCATTGAGAAGAGTATAGGCTTATAAAATACGTATCTACTTACCAGATTAAAGACAGTTTCTACAATATCCCTATTGGATACTTCTCCAACTTCTACCAACCCCGTCAGCACCGCAAATTTCATTCTGATGCCTCTGATGGGGATCCCTGGTTTCAGGGACAACGCACCCCCTTCACTAGGGGTTTCTTCGCCTTTTCCTCCACCTCCCCCGTCATCACCTGTTGGTGGCGGGGAAGGGGCATGGTTATCTTCACTAGCCATTGCTAGTTCACAGGAAAGGACACCTCGCAGTCACCCTGGGGCAGCAGTCAGTGCACTAGCAATAAGCACAACACACGCAACGCAAAACGAAAAAGGTCTGTCTTCCAACTTGCGGAGAAACCCTCAAAAGCAGTTAAAGCAGAAAGTCCTTGGCGTCGTCCTCCTCCTCTCTGAGAATATTTGTCCAATCTCTCTCCCCGAGGCTGACAACAACGCCAAACCCTATTGGAAGATTAGATACATGTTAAATACGCTAGGCTTTGTTTTAGGGGTCTTGGGGGGAGGGGGGAAGGGGTGATGGTTATTTTCGACCAAATAAGTTACTAAAAGGACCCCACTCCTAGACACTCTCTCCTCCCGGGCTCAAGAAGCTGGGTTCTGGGTGAAGGCGCGTTCAAAAGGTCCCAGAACAGGTTCACTCCTCCCCCACACTCCTGCAGGTTCTAGGAGCAGGGAGACCTCTCGTCACAGGTGCACGGAAAGAGAAACTGTCGGAGGGGGAAGAGAGGATCGGAAGAGAGGAGGGAGCCCCCAAGCTATCATAGACGTATAAAGTTCCTCCTCACCCAGATACTCTGGACTCGTCCTGACCCCCCGCCAGGGAGCAGCAAGACAGAGGTGGCGGCTGAGATCCAGGGCAGGAAAAGGCGGGGGAAGGGGGCGGTGATTATTCTCAACGCTCGGCCCTAGGGGAGGAGTGGAACACTGCTCTCCAGACACCTGAGGTTCCATTCCACTAGGAAAGGAGGGGGTGTGTATTGAGGAAGGAGGGGAGGAGAGACAGGCCGGGAGGCCCAGGGACGACGGTGGGGAGAGGAGGTAGGAGAGAAAGGTCAGAGCACCTGGTTGCAGCCTCCAAGTTTCCCTAGTCTGCTCCCCGGGAGTCCGCAGCTGCACAGAACTCCATGGTTTCCTGGCCCGCCACACCCCTGAGCTCAGCCTTTGCAAACATAGCTAATGCGAGCACTACGGACGCTGCGACTGAGGCTGCTGCCAATTGAAAGGATGCTACTGCCACAGCTCGCCCCGCCGCAGCTTACTCTGCTGTCTCTGTACCCACTAACCCTGCTCTCGGCCGCCATGACAGCGCCGAGGGCTGCCGGGCGCAGCGTGCGCGTGCGCGAGCGCGTGGGGCGGGCGGGCGCAAAACCTGAGGCCATCACGCGCAGGGTGGCGACGCGCGGGCGGCCTGGGGGACTAAGAACGGGATGGGGAGTTGGGCGATGTCAGGATGAAGGGTGAGACCGCGCACTCGGGAGGGTGTGCTTCTCAGATAGCACCAAGAGTCTCCAGACTGGCAAGATAAGACCTTTCCTGCCAAGAGGACTGCCCCTTCCCTCTCCCTCCTCGTCCCCTCCAACCTGGGAAGGTGCTTTGCCAATTGCTGAAGCGGTGATTCTGACTCTTCCTCCTGTTGTTAAGTTACCGTAGAATTTCCTGGCGCGAAGGAAAACCGACCCACGTTGCCAAGGTGTCTTCGTGGACTTGGACACCTGGGGGACCGCTATGAGCCAAAGAGATGGCAGCGCCGGAGCCAGTGAGGCTGCTGTTCTAAGATTCCCCACCCCTAACTGCTTTCAACTGCTGCCCTCCCGCCGCGCTTAGCGAAGTCTTGGAAAGAGATTTCCAGTGGGATGCCCCAACAGCTGCCACCATTCGGAAGGGGAGGGGAGGAGGCCGCGTCAACGAGAAAAGGGATAGATTCCTTGCCTTGCAGCTGCCGTCCCACCAAACCTCTCCCACGTTCTAAGGAAAGGAGGATTCCAGAGACAGCTGCTCCAAACATAGCGTGGAGGCGGGCTTAATTTTGCGTGCAAATCCCTGAGGTTTTTCTTTTCCTCTCGTGGTTTTCCAATGTAAAGTTAGGTTCGCCTCATTCTCAGTTTAATTTAAAAAATCAAATACATTAGGGTTGAAACCAGTAAACTTTATAATCTGAGTCTTTCTATCCGCACTGTTAACAGTAAAGCACGTTTCCTGATGCGTTGTGAAAAATAAAAAATTTCCTTATGGTAATCTTGAAATACAAGGCCTTAAAAAAATAATGTTTAAAACCCTCCTTGCTCCCTAAAATGAAAGTGAAACAAATGTGGGATCACACCAGTTAAGAAGTACTTGGAGGAGCGAAGAGAAAATAGTTTCCTGAAACGCTTCAGGTTTATATCTGAAATTGTTAAGTGAATAACAATTCGGATAAGAAGGTGAGGGGCTTGCCTGCAGGAGAAAAACAACTTTTATTTACCTTTCACACATCCATATTTTGAGGAAGAAAGGTATTAAACAATGAAAGAATTCTGGGGATTTTGCCGCCTTAATTATGGTCAAATAGTCTAACCTTGAGTAGTATATCCGTATATCTGAAATGTTAAACTATTTGTTAAATAAGTGTTCTCTCCTAAGAAGGATCTGATGATGGTGGTGAAAATGTGCCCAACACAAGGTAGTCAAAATTATCTAAATTATCTAGAGCTAATGTTTGTATGGGAGCCTTGGTGGTCCAGTGGTTAAATCGCTAGGCTGCTAACCAAAAGTTGGAAGGTTGGAATCCATCAACCACTATGGGGGAGAAAGATGTAGCAGTCTGATTCCTCAGATTCAAAAAAAAAAAAAGTATGCCATAGATTACAGCCTTGGAAACCCTATGGGGCAATTCTACTCTGTCCTATAAGTCGCTATGAGAGTCACTATGAGTCAGAATCAACTGGAAGGCAATGGATTTGGTTTCAAATATTTGTGTCTTTCATAGATTTACCAGCTTAATGTTAAAACTGTTAACACATTCACTGTGAAACAAAGGAAATGTGAGACAATTATCCCAATATTTTCAAAATGAATTATCAAATAGTTTTTATTATTGTTCAGAATTACTAGACTTCCTGCTTGACTTTGGCCCATGGCTACAGTAAAATAGTTGACAAAATTTGGAGGTTCACTGAGAAAGAAGGATGAAAAAGGTAGAAGACGAAACTATTCTCTAGCCAAGGCACAGCCAACATGGAATAAAACACACTGCCAGCAGTCAATTCTGACTCATAGTGACCAAATATGGCAGAGTAGAACTGTTTCACAGAGTTTTCAAGCTGTAAATCTTTACAAAAGCAGACTGCCTCTCTCTTCTCTCTGCAGAGCAGCTGGTGAGTTTGAACTGATGGGTGGTATAGTGCCTAAGGCATTTGACTACTAACCAGAAGGCTGGCAGTGCAAATCCACCAGCCACTCCTCGGAAGGCTGAGCAATCTACTTACATAATGATACCACCTCGGAAACCCAAGGAGGGGTCACTATGAGTCGGATCCTAGTTGTTGTTGTTGTTATGTTCTGTCGAGTCAGGGGAATCTTAGAACAGCAGCCTCACTGGCTCCAGTGCTACCATCTCTCTGGCTTATAGCGGTCCCCCAGGTGTCCAAGTCCAAGAAGACACCTTGGCAACATGAGTCGGTGAGTTTGGGTTTTTTTTTGTTGTTGTTGTTGTCAGCAGCTGAATGCTTTAACCACTGCACCAACAGAGCGCTTTCAAAATATAATTTAAAATAAAACTCACTGCTATGGAGTAGAATGAGACTCATAACAACCCCACCTTGGGTTTCCAAAGCAGTATCTCTATGGAAGTAGATGGCCCAATTTCCTGCCAAGGAGGGGCTGGTGACTATGAACCACCAGCCTTCTGGTTAGCAGTCAAATGCCTTAGGTACTACACCACCAGAGTTAATAGCTATGGATAATTGTTCAGGTATAAAGCATGTTGTTGTTATGTGCCCTCGGAGTCGGCCCCGACTCATAGCGACCCCTCCCTGGGTTTCCGAGGCAGTAGTATCACTACAGAAGTAGATTGCCCAACCTTCCTTCTGAGGAGTGGTTGGTGGGTTTGAACTATCGCATAGAACTGTGGAATTTTTCAGGGTGAACTATCTGCCCATCAGATCTTAAACTCTTTGATGACACAATACTTATAACATTATAGGTACTCAACACATATGATTTGGAATAAATTGAAACTCTAAAAGTTACTTGCTTTAACTTTTCTGACCTGAAAGCCCTTTTCTAAGTCTACACTATTATCAATTAGATATCTCCTATCAGTTAGGTTCAGTATAAATGGCTACTTTAATATGGAAAGCAGTTTTACCATTTGTTAAAATTTGTTTGTCTTTGGTCCTACTAATGGAAGTTTTCTAGTCAAGTCTTTATGTGAGTGAAGTGTCATCAGATGAGTTTATAGAACTATCTTACCTGTAGCACACACTTAATTTGTTCAAAGACAAAAAAAAAAAAAAAGGCACAGATTACCTATGTTAGAGCTAGGCTCAAGTTTCCTATCACCATCTAATGTATATCTTAACCTTTCTCTGACATCAACATTTTATCAGAATTAAATTAAGGGCTGAAGGTTTTTATAATTATACTTGCCTTCAGTATGCACTGAAACCATAGCAGGAGAGGAAAGAAAAAAAAAAAAAAAAAACCCAGTAGATTCAGAACAGGAAGCCTTGTGCATAACTCAGAGGAACTGAAGCAAAGAGAATGTAATTTCATGCTGAAATCAAGAAGATTATTGATCTGCAAACTCTAACCTATTATTCAGAGGAAAAAAAATTCTGAGAACAAAGATGGGATGGAATTTTTTTTCTACCATAAAGAATACCCATTGTAACTTCTTAGTATTTTGCTAGGATATACGTTAAACGATGACTTAGAAGAAACACACCACCTACACGATTTGCTATGCAGCTGTGTGTACGCATCCCTGAATTTGGAGTTTTCTTCAAATTGTTGTTCAGCATAGCTTATAATATCAAGGCTGGAAATTCATAGTCCTGGCTTGCAGCCATTTCCTTGTGAGGTCAAATCTTGTGGAAAATGTAATGGCAGCTTCATCTGACCTCCTCTAACTTCACAAGGGAGAAGGAGAATCATTAGCATCAACTGCCCAAGGCCGATTTCTATGAGACAGAGGTGAGACAAACCTCTCTACAACCTTTTTACCAATTCTGATACAAACTGCCCCTCCCACAGCACTCTCTACTTCTCTGCTGGGTTTGCTAATCCTTTGCAATGGCCACAAAACCAAAAACCAGACTCACTGGCATGGAGTCGGATCCAACTCATAGTCGACCCCTCCTTGAGTTTTCGAGGTGATATCACTACGGAAGTAGATAGCCCAACCTTCCTTCCAAGGAGTGGCTGGTGGGTTGGAACCGCCAGCCTTGCAGTGAATTTGGATGGGTTTTATTAAGGAAGTAACAACCTACAATTCAGAATCAGAAAGGACTCAGGATACAGTCCTTCAATCAGGACAGGCTCTTCTCAGCATAAAGGCTTGCCTCTATCTGGCACTTATCTTCTCAGCCCCACCCCCTAACCCCTTTAAGTGCCTAGAGGCATCCCACTTTACAAGCAAGTCCTTGGTGAAGTGCCTGGAGACATTCCATTCTGCCAGCAAGCCTCCTGCCCAAAGACTCAGCTTTCTCACTCTGTGGCCCAGGAAGCCCACTACTATCTCCTGCCGGTTTACTGGTTCTGCTACCTCTGCGGTTATTTCTCTGCTTCAGCTTCTTACCATCTCCTGAAGACTCCAATGTTACAGCTCACTCTCTGTCTCTTCACTCTAGGAATTTCTCAGGGCAAGGATCCC